CCAGGATCCCTTAAACCAAAAATTAATCACGGCATTAATCGTCAAATCCAAAATACGGCTAATCATGCTATTGCCCATTTCAATTCGAGAGGATTCGACTGCTTTTTTCACCATCAATTAATTCATTGTCAGCAAGGACTAACAAGTCGATTGCAAAACTCAAATTTAAATCCTGCACACCAAAACTTCCGAAATTACAACGAACATTTTTTGACGTATTTTTTTCATTTTTTTGAAGAGCACAGACATATTTTTTCATTGACCAGCGATTAAGTATGCTCTATCGGATGTCGCCTATTGTTCCGTAATGTCGATTTCTATTTCAAACCAAACTTTCGATGCATTCCATCCATTCCGTCAATAAACAAAATGCTCAGATCAGATTGAGACAACGAACAAAAAAAATTTATTAATACACACACATCACTAGATATTCATTCATATCAACGGTGAATTACTGAAGAAATAAATTATTACTGTTTGAATGTACAACTATTTGGGGAATTGATTGCGGTGATCAATAAATTACTTTCTGCAGTCAAAACAAAAAAAGATCAATTAAAAAGGGATTAAATTATTCATTCTGATCAGTAATCATCACAAATCGATCAGTCAATGGTTATAATGTAAACATGGATACATGTTGAATGAAATTAATCATATCCTCAGCATGAAACCGAGAACAGATTAAAAGTTACTTGAATATTGGTCAATAAAAATGATATTGATTGCATGCTTGAGTGATGATTATATGAGTTCAATAGTGTGCGAATCGCCTCTCAGTCAGAAATCTACTGCAATGGAACAACATGCTCGAAACTTTATTCTCAAAGCAACACAATCACCATTCCCTTCCATTCCAATTCCTCTTGATTCAATAGGTGTAATTGCTTGAATTTTTGTATTATATGAGTTTTGTTGAGTAGCTTGAATATTTGTTGTGGAATGTTTTGCTTTAATGGATTGAATTTGAACACTTTTAATGGAAAACGATGTCTGAACGCTTTTAATGTCAGTTCATCAGTTTAATTCACGAAATAATTCAATGAATGCAGTTGGAGAATTAAATTTGAAATTAATTACGGAATGTTAACACAACGAGCGTGTCTACCAGTACAACTACTGCATCAAGAAAACAACCAGTTGAACGAAAGCACTGCCGCCTGCCGTCTTATAAGATTCATCAAATCCATACATCTATCTCACTTCTTTCTAGAAAATTCTCTTCAGAACGAACTGAACATCTCATAGAAAAGTTTAATCAAATTCTGAGAGCCATCAGCTCATAGTCAATAAGGAACGTATTCGATAGCATTTTACAATGATCACTTTTTCATAACATTATAAATTTACACAAATGAGTTGTATGGCACGTGAATTCCACAAGACTTGACCCATAAACAGTTCATTTTTTTGACCGATTTTTTTTGCTTTTCTAAAATTTTCAACCCTAAAAGTTATTTTCATTTACTATTTTCTTGTTTTTTGACCGATTTCGCGTTCGATTCAGTCTCTCTTTCCTTCTTATATTCTACGATCCCGACAGTGCAGTGTGGTTCAACTGTTTGACAATACAATACTACAATTTCTAATGAATACGATGAAAACATGAATGAAACGAATGAAGACAAGATTAAATATTTGTGAATGTGTTAGAGGGATGTATCAAAATACAATGATTTCCATTACAACAACGACAAACCAAATTCAATTCTCGAATACATTTCCAGTTGCAGACAAAACTCGACAACTTTCAAATTGTATAGACTCACGTGATAAATTGCAGTCAACGTGACAACAACAACCGTTCACAAGCAGAAAAATGAACACAAACAAACGCGACAATAAAAAAAGCATCGTCATGGTGGCTATTATGCTCCGAAAAGTCAACTTCGGAAGAGAATGATCCAGAATGAACAATGACTCCTACAACTAGATATTATTGACAAACGCAGTTTGGCTGACTATAAATATCCGACTAGAAAGAAACAAAATACACAAACAAATCACTAGTGCCGTATGAATCTGATGAGGGAGGATGGATGAAAATGTGAGAAGAAGAGCTTTGCACATTGTATTCCATATATTATGTGGTAAATCTGATGATTGATCGCGCAATTGAGATTAACTCAACTGGGCATTTGTGAAACTCTTCCATTTTCCATAGAGTATTACAGGTTGAAAAATGAGGTGGAGTATCGCGGCCAAATGAGACTACGTTTTTGATAATGGAAAATTTTCGCAATTCTCTTCGTAATTAACGGGAGGGAGAATGACAATCAGACATCTAAGCGAAGTATTTAAGAACACAGCAATATTTTCCAAATGAATAGAAGCGTGAAATGTAACGAATTCGATAATGAACACAACAAACATAAATCAATGAGCGTTCAGTAGATAAACGACGAATCAATTCATTGATATCAAAAAATTTCAAAAAATAAATAAATAAAACTATCCAAAATGATCATCGTTTCAAGCATTCTATCAGAGCAATTTTTTTGCAAAGAATGATGCCTGCCTTTCAACTCAATACAAAACGAATAATCACAAAAGATAATCGATAACTTAAAAAAGAGAATCAAGTGAAAATTTGTTCTTTAAAATTTGTTCTTATCAGATTTCAAGTAACCGATTGATGATTTCGTGAGAAATAAGATTTTTGGATTTCGACTACTTTAATGTTGGAATTTCGTGGGCAACGGTAGGTAGGTAGTGAGTGATGTTCAGTTGTTCTCAAATCGCTCTCAAATAAACTTTTTTCGGTGATGACTACTCACAGGTTGGGAATAATCATAAGAATGCCCAGAAATCCAACCAAGACGAGCTGAACAAGAAAGTTGGCAATTAATCGTACCATTGAAGGCAAATACAATACTTATTAACGAATGAATAAATACGGGAACGAAAGTGACAAAAGCAATATAACTAGCGTTGTCATTTGTTATTATTATTGTTATTATGAATATAACATTATTTCAAATCAACCATTGAATAGGAGTAGTAAAATGAGATTTGAATTATTGATGATGTGACTTCATTCAGCAATTGCACTGTTGTGAGGGTGGCTTTTGAGTGGTTGATGCGTCAAGCCTTTGACCTTTCGGTTGTGCCGCTGTAGGATCGGAATCCAGAGATTCGGCCATTTTATTGCAAATTATTTCCACCAACTTCTCAAAGACGGCTTTCACGTTGATATTCTCCTTGGCTGATGTCTCGAAAAACTCCAAACCTTCAAAAAAGCAAAAAGAAAAATCGAAATTTCAAACTGGAATTTCATTCGAATTACGAGTGATTTCAAATGAATAATTTGATGATTTTTTCAACATTGCAACTATTCTTCGCTTTAAAATGGTGGTTGTGATGTTGTTTATATATCTGCAAAGTGGTTCACTTTTCAGAATTTGAAGTGGATTCGAATTTCAGAACTGAAGCGATCACCAACCAAGTTGATCGGCCAGTTGTCGTCCACGTTCAAACGATACCACTCGTTCATCGTCCATATCACACTTATTTCCAACGAGAACCACCTGTGCATTCTCCCATGAATACGTCTTGATTTGAGTACACCTTCAACATGAATCCTTTCATTTGTTTGCTTGAGCTGAGTGCAGATTTGAGCAAATACATTATTAATTATTACTTGGACATCGAGTGGTTGTCTCGTCAATCGCTGTGAGCGATCGGCGGAATATTTATTTTATTAGAGTAATGATNGGTATTTGACTGCGTTTACTTATGCAAAGTATTCACGGCGACTAATTATTTACTCGGTTGTGTTCGGTTGGCCTGCTCGCCTAGCCAGCGGAGTGGCGTGAATTGAGGCTAAAACAATGTGCACGGAAACATTGCGAGCATTGTGGCCAGCAAGGTTATGAACGTTTGATAGCCTGCTTGCCAATACAGGTAAAAAACATTAAATTCGTTTACCAGTCTTGAACACTGTTGAATGACTCTTCATTTGTGATATCATACATTAGAATGAAGCCCATTGCGCCTCGATAATAGGCCGTTGTTATGGTACGGTAACGCTCTTGTCCAGCTGTATCCTAAAACATAGAACGAACTCATCACTTAGTCCATGCATTCATTTCTAATCCACCCTTTAGCTGACAGCCAGCCAGCCTTCCTCCAGCTGAACATTCGAAAGCTTTAAGGCTTTAATCGGATTACTTTCAAAATCTCATCGCATAAACGTCGATATCCTATCAAAACGCCTGTTATCCCCTACATTTCTCCAATTGCATCCGCTTGAACCATGCAAATCCCTCTATTCGTAGTTGGAAGATTTAACCAAGTTCGATATCTTTGCGTATTTGAGTTCTATGAAGCAGTCAGCGAATGTGCTCACTTGCACCAGAACATGTACTAATTCACGACGATTACTCGAATTCATCGTGAAGTCAGTCACTAAATCCCTCGAAAACTCAAACCAAACAAGCATAAAACAGATTGAACGACGTCGAGCAAATGATGCAAAATAAAGGCAGCAATCAACAATAACAACAGCAATAAAACTGAAAATAAGCATTAAAATCCAATCAACTTCAATACCTATGCGCTATCATGCACGACAAACAACCAATACATCCATCCCACTTTGAATAGCTGACATTTCTTTAGAGTGGTTAAGGGGGAAAGAAGCAATAGCACACTCACAATCAAACTAATGAACATTTAATGACCAAAATTTATGATTCGTTTGCGAGAAACAATTCGGAATAGAGATTTTTAAAGGCATCGTTTTTTTGGTAAAAAATTTGCAGAGGTACATATTTAATTTTCTGCTCCGATCTCTTTTTAACGATTACAATGAGTTCAGATTTCATATGTTGCTTAGTTGCTCT